ACAAGGACCGCTGGTGCCACGAGATCGACATCATGAAGAAGTGAGTGCGGACGGGGCCCAGCGGCCCCGAACCGGCCGCCGGGGCGCGGAGGCAGCCGGGGTCTTGGCCCCTGAACCGGCCGGGCTGAGGGAGCAGGGCATGGGGACAGACAGCCCCTGAACTGGCCGGGCTGAGGGTCTACCTCTTGTCTAGCAGCTCAACGCCAGTTAACCTGTCATCCCAAAATGTCCAAGCACTTCTCTGGTGTACTAGCTCATGCCTTGGCTTGGGACCTAGTGACATCCAAACCCCCCCAGCACTGTTGTGCTGCCTGTGTTGTTTGTCCATCCTAAATTCCTCCAAACTCACACTATGCTATGTGTTGTTTTTATGTGGTGACATGAGAACACCCGTGTGTTTGCATACTGTGCACTGCATTCCTAGCATCCAGGAATCTAGGAACTGCTTTTATTCCTGTCATGTTCCTGCACATACAGAATAATGTCTCATAAATAATACTTTCTTGTGAGAAACTACGTACTCTATGCTGCCTGCCATCCCTCTCTCCAGCATGTCAGCTGGAGGTGCCTGTGAACCAGACCTGGCCAGGTTTGTCCTCATGGCCATGAGTGGTAGCTCTGGGTGTCAAGGTCTCGTACAGTTGTTTGCTTATCCTGAGAATTCCTCCTATTTTGAGAGCGGTGCTGGAGCATGAAATGCTCTGTCCCACTGGTGGGAGCAGGGATGCCGATGAGTTTTGTTCCGAGTTGTCTTCACTAAGGCCTGCAGTGCCCTGGCTGCCTAGAGCTTTATTGAGCTCCTACTCTGCCGCCTTGTCACCCTCACCTGCTCACTGTATGCACCAACATTGGAGGAGACCACTTACAGACAACCTGAGTTTGTAAGTTGGGGCTTCGTGGTCACTGTTCTTGCTAGCATTTTCACCATATTAATTTTCTAAATATGAGTACTGAGGCGCACAGCTACAGCTGCTCTTGTGGCTTCCAGAAGCTTTGGAAGGTGTATGCAGAAGGAATTTGTCTTCACTTCCTTCTGGATGTGCCATTTATTCCCAAGAGTAGCATGTATTACAGGCGGTCAGGAAGCAGCTGTTTGAATTCAGTTGCAGAAATAAGCTCTTCCCTGCCTATGTGGATTTTGCCTGCCTGGGTCTACCTCCCTAGTACAGTTACACAAGTATTAACAGATTCCTCTGAAAGCCTTGGGCCAGGGGGAAACTGTCCCTGAATGCAGAAACAGACGCGCATATATATATATATAACAACTTTGCCAGGAATGTGCAGGAATCCGGAACTTGAGCGCAGATCCCCATCATCAAAGCCCTGTACCTGACCTTTGAGATGTTGTTTCTGCTTATCACTGGTGTGTGTATTCCCAAGACATGGATTTTATGCTTTTGGATGCTGGTAGGTACCAGCTGAAGAGCGTACTTCTCAGCAAGGATACGTATAGGGAGCAGAAATTGTACCTGAATCATAAAACATGGTTGGTTGACAATCTTGTCTTGTTCTTCCAAAAGAGGAGTCAGAGTTTTCATCCAGCTTTCCACGTGCTTAGGTTGAACCATCCCAATGTAGTAAGAGCCTGTGAAGTTCCCGAGGAGATGAACTTTCTGGTTAATGACGTTCCTCTTCTGGCAATGGAATATTGTTCAGGGGGTGACCTCCGGAAGGTAATGTCTGCTTTCCTTTACAGTTTGTGGCAAAATAAGTGGCATTAATGCTGTTTCTGTAACTGGTTGTCTGTGAAACTGTGTGTTTTCTGTGCCCTTTTCTTTCTAGGTACAGGTGTGGGGCAGTAAATGTAAAGTGGAAAAAAAAACCCCATGCATGGCAAATGAGGCTTGTGGTTTTGAAACCAGAGGACAAAGAGCAGTCCAAGGGCAGATACTCTTCTATCCTGAAGCAGCGTGTCCTTTCATGGAACTGCTTTAGCATTAATGCAACTTCCCGTAGCCTAGATACTCACACCTAGTGTGTTTGGCTTTGCTGCACTGTGTCTCTCTCTAACTGGAGTCTGATCTCATTTTGATTTGCGTGTATCCAGTGTTGTATTGCTCTCAGCACAGGGAAGTATCCTTTTGGTACTGGACTGGGGCCTCCAGGGCTTCAGAAATTTGCCTGTTTTCC